AAATTGTCTTCCCATTAGTTGGGAAGCTGTTCTTGCATATTTTTCTTCAAGCTATTATTTGTGTTTTTAAAGTCAAGAACTAAAATTAAGGACGTAAGAAATTAAGACGTGATTGAATGCAGCCAGAGACTGGGTTACAAAACCAGAAGACAGTTCAAGAGTAAGTGTCTCAACAAAAGCACAGCTGAACACCACTGGAAAATTTGGAAGAGGGCTGGAAATTCAGGAGAGGGTTCCAAGGAAGTCAAGGAAAGAGTCGGAGGGGCCATTAAGAAGTGAGGAGATGAGGTGGTTAAAATAACCTGAAATGCACTGGTAATCACCTGAAATGTCAACGCACAAACACTATTAAAGGCCAGATGACATTCTATAGATGTTTTGGACATTCTTCTACTGACGCGCACTAAACGGTCTCTGAACGACGTTTGAAAATCTGGCACACAGAAGGTCTGTTTCTATAGAATATATTCCTGTTGAAATAGTGGGAGAGAAAAGAAATATTTAAAATGTGGATAGAAACTGCAAATACCACCCCTCACACAATGTATTAAGGTTTTTTCCCACCAGCAGCAGCTGACGGTATGACTAACCCCACTGTTTTCGTATAAGAGATTCAGGAATCTCTCGAATCCAGTGGGGAGACGGGATGCTTCTTCTGCATGATCCACTGATTGGGTCTTCTGCTCTCCCCCATCATAGGGGAATCCAGACTCCGCCTTTTCCAGCTGACGATGGCTGTCTGCAGCCCTGGGCACACCTGCCACCGCCCGGACTCCGAGCCAGCCTCCTCCGGTGAGTACAGAATCACGCCATCAGAAGAGGGTCACTCTGTGCCTTGTTCCTTCCGTAAAACCTCTTGAAGTGAGCCGACTGTTCTCAAGGAGCATCTCACTGAGTCAGGAGAAAACATGGAAGGCATAGATAATACAAGCAAAAACTTTTTAAAAAGAGAAAAACGTATTATTTTAATTGCTGCATCAAGAAAGGATGCTCTGTGTACATGACATTTGGTATGACTCTGAGAAGGTGCCAAGGGTTCCTGAACGCTGAGACTCTCTAGGTGGGTGCAGGAGGGTGGATGGGTGGCTCGTCGATATGAGTGCGGGGTGGCAGGGCGTCCAGAAGGACACTCAGGGTTAGACAGGCTATCGGTACCAAAAAGCGGGTCGGGGACCAATGAGGGAGGGTCGAATTATCTGGGGACGCTGTCGGTGCAGCTTGGGCCACCGGGCACTGTGAACTGAGCCGCGGACATGATCCCTGACGTGGGGAGCGGGCCGGTGGTCCTTCTGGCTGGAGTCAGATGTGCGCACATTCCGTCGGTTAACGAACCGATGCTGGCTGTCTGTATGTCCTCTTTGAAAACATGTCTTTCCAGGTCCTCTGCCGTGTTTTCATTAGACTGGTTTCTCGCTATGGAGTTGCACGAGCCGCCTTTTGTATTTTAGGCATTAGCCATGTTGACGGTTTTCTTTGCTGTGCAGAAGCTTTGTGGTTTGATCTAGTCCCACTTCTTTTTGGTCTTGCTTTTGGTGTCAGATCCAAAAAATTATCACCGAGACCTACGTCAAAGGGATCGCTACCTGTGTTTCCGTCTGGAAGTGTGATGGTTTCGGGTCTTCTGTTCAGGTCTGGATGCTACACTTGAATCCCTTTGGAGTTCGTTTTTGTACATGAACGTGGTTGCGTTTGATTTTTTTGCACGTGCCTGGTCCGTTTTCCCACCGCCGCGTATTGAAGAGACGGTGCTTTCCCCGCTGTGTTTTCTTTGCTTCTTCGTTGTAAATTATTTGACCGTAACGCGTGGGCTCGTTTCTGGGCGCTCCGTTCCATCCCATTGATCTCTGTGTCTGTTTTAATGCCAGAACCATGCTGTTTCGATGACTGTAGCTTTGGAATACGGTTAAAACCAGGTTGCCCGATGCCTCCAGCTTTGTTCTGTCAAGATTGCTATTGGCATTCAGGGTTTTTTATGGTTCTACGCAAAATTTAGTATTTTTTCTATTTCTTTGAAAAATGGCATTGACATTTTGATGGGGATAGCATTGAATCTGTAGTTTACTTTAGCTGGCATGGACATTTTAACGATATTGATTCTTCTGATCAGTGATCATGAAATATCCTTCCGTTTATTTGTGTCTTCAGTTTCTTTCACTAACGTCCAGAAGTTTTCAATATATGGCTGTTTCGCCTCCTTCGTTCAATTCTAGGTATTTAATCCTATGCTGACTATTTCTCTCTTAGTATTATTTTTATGAAATTTATTGCGGTGATATTGGTTAATAAAACTATATCGGTTTCAAGTGTACAGTTCTACAGTACATCATTCATATTTTAATACGTTGTGCGTTCATCACCCAAAGTCAAATCTCCTTCTGCCGCCGATATCGGACGGGTTAATAGGATTTGTACTTTTCCCTTGTGCATTTACTCTCTCCACCTCCACCCTTCCCGGTCCCTTCCTCCCGCCTTTTCTCCTGTCACGTGGTTATTCAGAATCTGCTAAGTTAAGAAGTAACCCCAGTAACAGTGTGTACACGACTATTGATTTCGAGGAGGGCACCTTCATGTTTATTTTGATTTTGAAATATAAAAGCGAAAAATGAATTCTGTAGTTTCAAAACAATTTGTCTAAACAGTTAACGTTTTGTCCCTCCCCCTCAAAAAAACACCAAGAGCTTCATCATCAGAAATAATTTTATTATTTATTTTAAAGCAATTCAGTGTAACTGGTAGCAAAATGGTACATATACAATAAAGAGAACTAGTCCCCATACGGTTACAAGGACTATAATTGACTCATGTTTTATTTTCATGTGCAAGTTAAGTGTTTTAAAAAGGCAACAGTTTGTTAAAAGGCTTTTATAAGCATGTTTTTATTCTTTAAATAACAGAAAGACTAATAAACTGTCATTACTACAGCAAGCCGATACGAACTGCATCAAATATTAAATTTGGGCTAATGTTCATAGTCAAAAATATTGTAAAATTTGTGAAACGGTATTTAGTTTCATAGGAAATATAGTCACGTCCTAACTGAAAATCCTAGTCTTGATAATGGTCATAATGCAAAAATACTAAACTCGAGATCTTGTGAGGAAATTGAGGAGTCACAAAATCTTACATTTATTCCTAAAAATAACTGCGACGAAGTAAAGAAATGGCAACTCAGACATCGTACTTGACTACTGATGAGCGGACGTAAAACGGGTTCGTTACCTTCACTGTAACCCTCGTTACAGGTGAGTTTGATTCTGCCTTAAGTCCGAATACTTTACATGTTAATGTTTGTGTTTATCAAATATATTTCCCATGTTTTTATAACATACACACACCTACGCATACGATATTTGTTGTAAGGTATACTTCCAATTTTGGGTAACTTGTTATAAATTCTGCATTTCTGTCTGATTAAAGAAAATTAAAGACAGGCTCTCCTTGTTTTGGGGGGAAATTCTTAGGGTTTTCGTTACTCCAAAATGAGAATAATGTGAAATTACTAAAAAACAGGAACGACAACAAATAGGCATTTTATATTCTCTAAACCAATTACACAATGGCTATCATCTATAATTTTACATTTTATGTTTTACATTTTTATTTCTACAGAATCATTTGGGTACTATTAGACTTTTTAAAATCTGTCTTTTAATCTTTCTATTTTCCTTTCAATGTATCTGCTTTATGAAAAAAAGGATAAAATATTTCTTTCCAATCTTATAAGTCCTATATTCTGTTGAATTGAAACTCAATGTCAAATTAAAAAATTTAAAAAATACAAAAATTACAAGAAAAATATCTTAAAATTTACCAATGTCTCTTTCATGGGAATACCTAAACACCTTCCAGCTACCTAGCGAGTTATGCTTTTGTGCTTTCCACTCTGTTTCTGAAGGAATAAAAAAAGTACAGACCAAAGTATTGGTGTCACCAAGGGTCAATTTATATTGAATTTATAACTGTCTAATTCTGCATGATTTATATTAAATTTCAAGGCAGAACTACCTATCCTTATTATATACCTTTTCCTCACAATATTAAAACATGGTTCCTATAGATAATTTTTCAAAATTAAATAAAATGTGTTGACATACCATTTTTGTTTGTATAGTTATTTCAGTTCCAAAAGCATAAAGGAGGACTTTCAATGTTTCAGTATGTCTTTGTAATCCACAAGAGATATTATTTTGCTTCTTTGATTTTTAAAGTATCTTTCTAATGAAATCATCTATATAGATAGATATATCAAAAATGTTAAAACTCAAGAGCCTAATAAAAGCATTACGGCATGTTTCAGTTAATGTTTCAATTCTTAAACTAAATTAAGTCAACAAATGTGTTTTAAATATTTTATCTATGTTAGGCATTCTTTTGGGAGGACAATCAATATTTGCTTTTTAGTGCACTTTTTTTTGGCGTACGCTCTGTGTCAGACATAAAGTTAGCAAAAAGTTCGGGTACTTGATATTTCTTTTTGTTTGCTTTCTTCAGTGTAATGAAACATGCTGAAATAAATATGATCCCACATGAAAAGGCAACAGAAACAGGTTAAAATAACTTAAAGATTTACATTCTAAACTATGATTCTTACAAAAATGTCAGCCGACAAGTTTGTTCGTTAATCTCTGGATAGAGAAGACTAGACATTTATGATCTCGATTTTATAAAGAACATAATGTGACACATTTACTTTTTAAGAGGAGTGGCGATCTTCTGTGTCCCTTGTGATGCCCCAAACACAGCTGGATTTTCAGGTCACTTTCACAAAACCCTAATACTTTTTAAAATTGGCTTCATACCATTTGGATTATTGTCAAACGATCAAATATCAGATTTCAAATTTTGTGTTTTAATATAGTTTTTCAAAATCATTTCATTGATGTCTTTCAAATATTAATAGGAATACCAATAAGCAGTATGTGGAATTTCAAAATAATCTATACTTCTAAGAGAATACATTTTTTTTTAACATGTGAGAATTAAATACATTCCAATCTAGTTTATTTTATGCCAGCAACACTTTTTCCCCTAAGATGTAGAGTTCTTTCGAGCAAGATCCTCGTAAGAAAAAAGAAGTCTCTGATTTTCTCATTATCAAAGCTGCGTTTCCTCACGAGACTCTTGACCAGTAGCCTGGATGCTGTTTTTGTGACTGGGTTCATTGTTTGGGAGATACGCCAGAGGATCTGGTCGGATTAAGTACCTGATAAAAGAAAACAAAGCAAATAGCTGTAATGGTCAATAAACGCACAACTAATTCACACCGACACTTGAGGTTGCTACTTCACCTCTGATGGGTTTTCAGGTTATCTAAGCTGTGTCTCTACTGATAACATCATCAGAAGGAATCAGTTTAGTTGGCCTGTAAAATTTTGCAGGGCTTGTATTTTTTTAATTTTAATTTTTCATTGAATTAAATTTACTGGGGTGACATGGGTTGATAATTATATAAGTTTGAGGCGTACAGTTCTATAATATGCTTCTATATGGTACTATGTGCTCACCACGCAGTCCAGTCCCCTTCTGCCACCATATACTTGACCCTCTTCATCCTCCCTCCACCCTCTGTCCCCTCTGCTAACCACCATACTGTGTCTGTGTCTAAGAGTTTGTCTTGTTCGTCTGTTGTTTGTGTTTTATATCCCACATATCAATGAAATCATATGGTTTTTGTCCTTTTCCGTCTGACTTATTTCACCTAGCATGATACTCTCAAGATCCATTTACATTGTCTCAAATGGCAATTTTTCATCATTTTTTATAGCTGAGGGCATGTATTATTTCTATACCTAAGAAGGTTATATTGACGAATGCTGATAAATCAAGAATCGTTATATTCAGTTATGTTCCATTTCACTACCTTCAGTTTGTCAAAGATTCATGATTTATTTTAGTTATTTTGTTGATTAATTAGCCCTTGCATTGGCTATTTTTCTATCAAGGAGACCTACATCCTAGCCGTGATTCTTCTATTAACTGCTCTTAATCTTATTTTTGTCATTTATAAATAAACTTGATCTAAATAATTTCTATATTTTTAATTTAAATATTCTATGATTCTATAAAATCAAGGATTTATTAAACGTAGAGAATATTATACACAGATATTTTAATTATCTGGAAATTTATCATCTAAAATTCAGGTTATGCTATAATGAGAATTATACAATAGTATAAACAATAATTTTTAATTCATTCTACTAATACATAGGCACATGTTCATATGCTAAACTCAAACATCTCTTCAATGTTAGAATTTAAGAGAGTTGTTTTACTTCAGACTGTGAAACGATATAAACGTGCATTTCCTGAGCACCTCTGAATATTGTGCCAGGACCTGGGAATACAAAAAGTCACCCTGCCCCCTGTCCTGCAGAAGATCGTAGGGTTTAATTTATGAGGCAGACATAAAGAAGAAAAAATAAATTCCTAACATCACATCAGAGAGAAAGAACAGGAGAAAGAATTAGGGAACACTTTGTTCAGGATGCCAGCTTCAGCTTCTCTGTCCAGGCTTAATAGAGAGGAACAGAAAGGCAGTCTGAGGAGTGACAGGAGCGACAGATGAGGGATGCTCCTGACGTGTTTAGAAAACGAGTTTGACTTTAACAGGCTGCTTAGACCAGGTAAATTCAGGAAGAAAAGTAGGAAATAATTAATGCGGGACTTTGAGTTCCAGGATTAATTTCTGTTCCAAAGGCAACAGGAAGCCACCGAAGGTTTTTTGTTTCGTTTCGTTTTGTTTTTGTGGGGTGGGGGAAGGATGGGAGAGAAGAAAAGTAAATATGTGTAATGCAGCATTCTAGAAAGTCTTGTTTCAGGTGCAAATGAAATTAGTATTCATAGTTTTATAATTTTAGAAGATACAGCAAATGAACAGAGAAGCTAACTTAAAAGTGAGAGCGCTAATGAAGATGGTATTTTTCCTCTTAAAAAATAAAGGAAAAATATTCGTACAATATCTTCCTTAACGAAAACGAGAAAAGGCAATTTTAGGCAGTCTATTTTCTTTGACCAAATAAAAGTGGATGCGAGTGTCCCGGATCTCTTAACTGGACTTTGTCATCTGTGCTCACTGCTTTTGTAATTACTTTAAATATCAACGGCACTGTAGACCAGTAGGGAAAACTAACAGGAGCAATAAGCTTTGTTAACACCATATTGTCTAGTGACTTACTGTTCTTTGAATCAAATAACCATGGCCTCTTCATTTAAAATGAACTTTTGAGAGTGATTTTTTTAGAAAAACATAAAAGGCCTGAGTATAATCCATTAATTCATTAGTGACAAAATCATGTTATATATTGCTCTTAAATGTTTTATGCTTAAATCATAGTTTTGTAAATGAGAATGAAAGCACTTTGAAATCAGGAGAAAAGTCTTAATCTCTGCTACGCTTTTAAGGCAACACCAGTGCATTGTCCATGTAGAAGGCGTAGTGTTTGATGAATCCTATTTACTGCCGTAGACCTTTAGCTAATAAGTGTTTTGACTTATTAACTTTGGCTGGTGAGAAATCTAAGGTCTTTAGAATTAGGTTGTTCCCTTATTATTCTACATATTTTCTCTTATTTCTCCAAAGATATATTAGCTCACGGAATACAAAATTCGTGCTGCTGTTTTTTTCTTTTATTCCTCTGTAATCCTATAATGCTTTTAAAAAATAGGATTACACGCAACAATACATAAAATGCATTTGTTAATTGAACACAAAACTTAGACTCATACATTTATATCACAAGAATCCTAAGGGGGTGGGTAGGCTATCATGGTGGAGATAAACGTATAATCATAAATTAGTGATTTTCTACGAATCGGTGCCTCGGGTGAAGTTTGAGGTCAACTTACACAACGTCGTTCAGCTCTAGTCTGGTGTCTGGAGATGGGTTGATCAAGATGTAGGACAGGGTACCCTGATGATCGTTCATTTCGTCTGGAAGATAAACAAATGCCGAGTTTGTTACACTACTTAACGGAAAATTACTGGGAAAGTTATAGAGCATCTTAACTTCAAACCATAGAGCTGTCAACGAGAACTTGCCACAGTTCGTCCCACAGCGTGAGTGTGTACGTAACTCTGTTTTCAAATTACTGTCATTGGAAATATCTGACAGGTACTCAGTGTTTGTTCCAATAGGTGATAAAAATAAAGTAGCTAATTCTGTTTAAAACAACTACAGTTATATTCTACCCTTGAAGCGTTTGCACTGACGAAGTATTAAAGAAATCTGGACAAGTTGTTGACTTGATTTATTAAGCTTTATCAATTACGAAAAAGTAATTGTGGTTCCAGATGCCACCTAGACAGAAATATTCGTGTGGGAAATTCTGTGAAAAATCTAATGACATTGTGTTTAGAAAACACAGCAAACATAAAAAACTTGAAGGCCTTAAATATGTTTGGTTTTGTTACATAATATATCCGCTATAAGCCATCCTATATTTTTGGCAGAATGCAAAGAATCCTGTGGAACAGAATTTAATTGTAAGTCTCAGGAGAAGTATATACCGAGTTATTAATCCTCTGAGACAATACATATTTTTTAAAATGCTGTACCCTTTGAATTCTGTCAATTCACTCTGAAGACATGGTCAGGCTTCAGGGCTGGAGAGCCGAACTGGCATCGTATAGGGGGAAAGAAAACATTTTTGGGATGTAAAGATTTTAACTGACAAGGCTCTGCTGGGATGGGCCCGTAAGGCCGTGTGGACACGCACTTCAGTAAGTGTGACCCAGTGGTGCCATGTTTAGGCTGCACGGGGACCGTTTAAAACCCTGCTCTAGCGACAGAGGATCCTTCTAGACACTTCAGGGGTAGAGAAAGCGTGGCTCCTGAAAGAAGTACTAAAGTTTGCAGTTTGATCCAAAATCTAAGAATAGATTTCATACCAATAGAGAGAGATCAATACTCACATAACTGCGTACAGTTAAAGCAAAGGTCTTTCATGGGACAGTAGCTGACCCTGCCAATATTCTGCACTGGAAAATATATGTTATTTTCATAAAATAATGTCTACCACCAGGTTCATCTGTCTAAAACCCTACCACCTGAATAGGAAACAACATTTTTAGTTACGATTTTCAAGTTGACACGCAGATGGGCACTATTTTTAAAGTCTACAAATGAAAATCGTTATTTTACAAGACAGATAACTGCGGTATAACTGAACCACCATAAGCATGCCAGTAAAACTATTCTAATCACAAGATCATTAAATTAATAATCAAATAAAGGAAGATATTTGGTTGCATATATCTCCAGGGTCAATACAAGGAAGTGTTCTGGCATAGGGATGGGTTGTCAGGCAGATAGAGAATACCCAGTGAAATCTAACAAACTTTTATAGCATAAATATGTCCCAAATAGTACGTGTGACATACTTGTACTAAGCAATTATTTGTTGTTTATCTGAAATTCAAATTTAACTGGAAATCCTATATTTTTATTTGCTAAATCTGTCTTAGGGGTGGCTGGCCAATTCAGCTGGCTGAAGATGGAGTTGTAATGTGCATATAAAGTGAACTTAATTCACGTAAGGTACAGTTTCAACTAAAGCATATCGCGCTAGCATGAGATTACTAGGAAAGGACCATCTTTCTATATGAAAAGCAATTTGGGTTTATGTTTGCTTTTCTGAGAAATTCCTCCCTTGTGTGAATTTCCATAACTGCTGTACAAAGGAACAAATCGATAGCGCCTTCTGGAAACTAAAACATAATACTCTAAAATATAACAGTTCTGATAGAAAACCTATATCTCATTTGTCTGTGTATAAGTCAAAATCTTAAAGAAGCAGCAGCATTATTGAACTTTCCTATATAAATCGTGAACATTATTGAACAGTGGCGTTTGAGGGAAAACAATTTTAACAAATAACATCTCAGTCAATGTCAACACCCAACTTTTCTCCTTGATAATGAACATGACGTTGTACTCATTTTTGGTTCTGGGATGGAAAATTTGGCTCATGAACCAGAACTGAGAAGACTCTTATTTACAATCAAGCAAAAATATCTACTAAGGAAGTCTGTTGCAAGGATATGTGACGAGCTCCTGATAGGTGATCTCTGACTTTGGCAAAATAAAAAGCACTATACAAATTATTTTACTGAAATTATTATTTCATTATCGACATAATTATCTTAATGGAACTATTCTTCTTGGGAAATTTGAAATAAATGTACTAGAATATAGAAAACTCTAAAAGAAATTCTATAGAGTCAAATTCAACAATTGCTAGTATTTACCAAGAAACTTATTTGCTATATTAACTAGCGTATGCAATTATTCAGTCAAAAGCTCTGTATAGCAAATATTCTTAGGTGCTTCATGTAAATAGATCGCATTCCAAAGGAAAGAATTATACTCCTTCCTCCCCCCCGCCATTTTTGTCAAAATGGGGACATCTCTAAATTTTCTTTAATATTCACCAAATAAGTACTATAATGCAGGATGTTTTGGATAAGACTGCTGAGAGCATAGAAGAGTATAAGTTTTAACAAGGAGAATAAATGTTTCCTGGCATCTCTCACAGACTTATTTCACACTCGAGTTAATAAAGATTGAGCTTGCTTCATTTTCTTCCAAGTAATTAGCTTTCAGACTGAAGAAAACAAAGTCAAATGTAATTTTTTTTTACCAGTCTTATAAAAAATACTCCTACTGTTCTTACAAAATAATTAAGTCCCATTCCACACATGTGAGTTTTTTTTAGCTTGCTTTGATTTTTAAATTTTCCTCGTGCAAGTATTTTAAGAACACTTAAAAGAATAAAATTTGATCAGAAAAAATGAAATCTTTGTGTACATTTCATTGAATAATACTTTCGAAAACACACTTCCATTATGCATTATGTAATCATAGAAACATTTCAAATAACAAATATAAAAGTATCATCGAGAGGCTCGGTTAAGAACAAAGGCTCTGAAACCTGATTTCTTGCCTCAGAATCCCGGCTTGCCCCATTAGATGCTGAAACCACAGGCAGATTACTTTGCTTTAAGAAAATCTGTCTCTGCTCAGTTTCCTCACGTGTAAAATGGGGTAAGGATAGTACTACTTCATAGGTTATCATTGGAATTAAATTATAAATAACTAATCAATACAATTTAAAATGAATACATTCGTATCAATATATAGTTCTTAGAATCAGCACCTGATTCACAGCAGGTTTCCTGTGTTAGCCGGCAAAATCAATCTGTGACTAGTAAAAATAATCATTCACGTGTCGCGATGGAAAGGGGCTGGTGTACGAAGATAAGGAAGAGCCACGTCCAGACAGAACAGCAGGTGTTTGATTTTAAGTTGTGGAAAGCGGGTCCTGACGAAGAGATGGAGTGAGGACGTTCTTGGAGACGATGCTGAGAAGGGAGCTAGGACCAGATCCGTGGCCTTTACGGACCTCGGCTGAGAGTTTGAATTGCATTCTAAGAGCAACTGGAAGCCGCTGAGAGCGCGTAAGGGCGGGAGGTTTGGGGGCACGATCTGATTTCCTACGGAATGAATCAGCTTGAAGCTCTGGAAAATGAGCTTTGGGGACTCAAATTTGGACTCGAGAATAGTAGGTGAATAGTATAGAAGCCCAGGTGACAGGTGACTTGGTCACAATGGCAAGGGAGGAAATTTGGAAGGGGGGAGGGAAATACAGCTGGAGAGCTGGAAAGAGCGAGAGCAAGAGATACGGGGGAGAGAGCGGGAGGGAGCGAGCACCGTCGAGATGGGACAGTGCAGCATGTTTGAGCGCCCATGAGAAACACGAGTGGAAACAAAGGAGTCCGTGCTGTGCACAGGGCGGGCACATTTTCCTTCAGTCGCCACGAGAGATGCCCGATCAGAGAAAATGCCTTGGGGTGCGCAGTGCTCATTTCTCCTACATTGTCTAATAAGCGCTCGGAGCATGACCCTCTGGCGGTCTCGCGTTCCCCACCCCTTCGCAGTCGTCATCTTGAGAGGCAGCATATACTGGGCGGTGGTCTTCAGAACGGGCCAGGCGCGTAGTTACAGGTGTGCCCGTGAGTTAACTGTAAACTTCCTATGTGGCTTTAAGCATATCATTTAAATGAGCTCAGGATACTTATAATTATGCTGCATTATGAATTCTAAAGTCTAGGGGTTTCCATTTGGTCTCTTTTGTATCTTTGCCTTCTCTATCATGCTTTTACTTTTCTCTACCACACTGAACATGCGGACAATAACCACTTCGTGATCCTTGTTTTCTGCATCTCTTTCTAGGGATTGATTTTTCGTATTTTGGCTCCACCTGCTTGACTTCTAGCCTGTAAAAGACAACTCGTCTGTCTCTCTTCCCTCCGGGAATAAACTTACATGCTTTCTTTCGTCTGGTGTCTGCACGCTATTGATTTTTGTAGTTATTTAAATTGAGAGCATAAACAGTCATCATAATCAGAAGTTTCTTCTCACTGTTTTAATGCATTTAGAAAGTTCGTTCTTTGCTCATTCATTGACTATACTCAACCCATGATAAAATGTTGAAAGTAAAAAGTTCACTCAACCAATTAATTTTTTTTCTCAATGACTAAAGATATTTTATTCAAATTGGCCACATTTTTCTTAAGCATAAGCCAACACATAACATTTGAGTTTTCAGTTGTAAAGGTAAAATATATGTATATTTAAGTGCAATTAAGTTCACTATGGTATTAAATTATGTAAAAATGTTGTTGTCATTGAAAAATTAATGTTCTGGGAAAGATATAATAAACTCCAGGAAACAAAACTTTATAGGTTAATTTAGGGAGATATGGAAAATTCATTCCCCAAACATTTTCATTTAGTGTAAATCATTATCAGCTCAGCAATTACCCCCTTTGAAAGCTTCATTACTTCATCTATTAAGAAAACCATTCGGTTTGTTTTTCTCTATTAACATTCTATATATAGAATGAGAATAACAAAACAAACCCATGTATATCTCCTTCTGTCTGACTGCTTTCTCATGAGAATGGATCAGTTCTGGAAATAGAATAATATAAAATTATATATTTTCTGGGACTCTATCCTGGGAATATATTGATTGTCATATCAATATTATTGTACTCATTAATATTGGGAAAAGGTGAATAATATATTTTTTTAAAATAATAAAAAATTCAGTGTCAGTTTCTTTTTAAATAATAAATTTTTGCTGAAGTCATTACAGCGATCTCAGATACTTCTACTATTCTTCCTAAGTCCAAATTTTGCAAAACTTTCTAAAATACTTAGCAACAATGCCTTTTCAATCTTTGGTAATTTGCCGTATGATAAATTTGTGAATAATTTTGTGCTAGAAAAAGATCCCTGACATCTATTAGAAATTGGGAGATTTTTTTGGCTGTTGTTGAGAACATACATGAAAATGATCAATGATTTATAAGTGTCTGAAAATAGAAGTTGATGGGGTTAGTATTATCACTATGCATATTGCCACCACCACGTCTGCTATAGGTGCGGGCGGGAATAACAATCTTTCATCAAATTTGTTTACTCTTTCCAAGAAAGAGAATAACCAAGAATTAAGTCACCATGTTGGCTATTAAAAAAGAGTTCTTGGTTAATCTACCTATTATTTCAGGCATATTATCAATTTACGTAGACACTAAGGCTTTCCGATAGATGTAATGAATTCTGGTGTCGAACTACTAGTTACCTCTTTCTCACTCGAAAGGATTTCTTTATTTTCTCCCTCGGCATTTCATCTTTTACTGACAGTATGAAACTTATTACAATCTCTGTCAAAACTGACTGGGACCATAGCAGGAAGCCTCTCTCGCCAATTTATACTATTAATATGTCCTTCTAAGGGCTGATCATTACATATCGGTCCGTAGTTAGAATAATTTTTAGTGAGTGTGTGTCATTTTAAATACCTTGCCGAAGAATTATACTATTTATTTACATAATACTTAAAAAGTACTCACGCTGAGTGTAGTTTATAGATTAAAACATCTTTGTGTACACACAACCAACCAAATGAAAACCCAATGGCAAACACCTTTAAGAAATCTTTTTCTTTTTTTTTTTTACATAATTTTGATTATAATTTTACAACTAGTCTATAAATTATGGAAGTATGCACTAAAACGTGTGTGAAATTTACCTAAAAATAATATAAGTGAGGAAAACTGGTGGGATTGTACGTGAAACAAGCTGAAATTAATAGCTGTGAAGCATGATAATGAGTATTCGTTATAGCGTTTTCCCACGTTCATGTTTGGAAGTTTTCGTATTACAAATTTTAAAATATATATATTAAAAGAAATTAGTCTTGCACAGAGAGAACACCTTTTCCTCTGAGACTGCAGATGTTCTGAATTGTTTTCAAAACACTCACCTTTCCACTTCTGGAATCATTCTCAGCGGGCGATTGTGCCTCTTACCATCGTGGGAGGCAGAACTCAACTTCCTGTCTAAACGCCTGCGCGGTTCCCGCATTTAAAAACATGCATCTTTTCCTCATTTCCAAATATCTAAGCAGAGATATTTGCTTTCCCGGATTTTCAACTTCTCTAAGAGCTCCGTGTTAATCAGCATGCTCATTTCTCCCTGGAATCGTCCCTCCTCTGTGTCCACTTTCCCATCCGGCCATCCTCATATTTCACACCCACCCCCTTCACAGCGAAACTTCTTAGAAAATATCTACTATGGCAGAGACTGACACTTGTCTTTCAACAGCCATGCTCGTTTTCTTTAATTAGATCTGGGCTGCCACAAATCAAACATGCTTTCCTGCCGATGAGACACAGTGGGAATGGTGTGGGCAACTACTTGGTAATACTGTTAAAAAGACAACCCTCTCCTCCTTTGTAGCTCTCCCCTCCTGCTGGATGGAACGGGAACCAAATAATTTGTATCCCAACGTCCACCTCGTGTTATGAATTGACTTGGTCATGGAAGCCATCCGATAGATTACGTTTCCACTACCTTGGGCTCCCCGATGTATCTAAACCCACTGTATCCACATCCTTGCCTGAACATCATTCCTCGTGCTACTCAAATCCGGCTTCACATACACCACTTAACTGATGCCGCCCTCGCCGAGGTCGTCAATGACCCATCACTACTCTCTCTACTACTCGGCACTGTTAATCATTTCATTGCCTCCCATTCTCCAGTCCAACACTTTCCAACGTTTTTTTTCCACATCATAGAACACTTAGGGTCGTAAGGAGTGATGAGAAAATGTACGAAAAACACCTCACATTGTTCCTGGCACAGAGCAGGTACTTAGTCAACATGCTTTTCTTGTCCAAAGAAATACAGGCAACTTCTTTTAAACTCTAATTCAATGATTAAAATGTCTCCCAATGTACATTGTTTCAGGCTGAGACTTTCATAACAAAGATGAGATGGGCAAATATGAAATGCATTCTATTTTATCCTTAAACTGTACGATACTTACAGTTTTCTTGGCTTCTGGTTTACCCGATTTATATATATATATACACATATATAACAACAAACCACTTATTTATCATTTGGTTTTCCTCTAAGTTGACTAAATTTATTTTTAAGATAAAATTCATACTGTGATAAGTGATATCTTTTAAAGTTTTCTTTGCTAATGCATTTAAGCTGTGCCACATGGTCTATATTGCCATCACCAATCACCAGAGGAGCCTGACAGTTATTGAGGCGGATCTGCACTATATGAGCTCAAGCACCATTTGAGCTTTAAATTAAAGCTTTTGAAGACATTTTGTTCCTGGACCACAAGGAGCTAATCATGTTTTATAGGAACACGTTGGTTCATCTGTGGTTGGTACATTTAGTTACTTGCCAATGCCTCAGATTCATCTGATTCCAGGCCCTAGAATGAGGGGGTGGTGTGTGTGTGACATTGGAGCCAGACAGAACCGGACATAAACCTCAGCCATGCCATGAACAAGCTAACTAGGAAGTTCCTTGACTTAGTTTCTTTACCTCTAAAACGGAAGCGTTTTTGTGAAAATGAAAATGAAGGTAACTCATGTAACGTGTTCACCACGATGCCTAGAGAACTAAGCAAATACTTAACATTTTCAGCACTTGATTTTTACTACCAGCGTCATCATCGTTTCCTGTCGGAGATTAGCTATGTGTCGCTAGTCCCTCCACACTGACCTGTGAAACAAAAGTGTGATTCTCAGCTTACTGAATGAGCGTCAACTCTACAACGACTAACGGCCAGAAATCACAAGTCCATATCATGCAATACGTTTAGAGGGCATACCATATCCCACTGTAGAAAGACCCAAGTGTTTCATTCTATTTTTCACAAGTTCAGCAAGCTCTTGTCTCTCTGACCTCCTGTAGAGGTTCAGTCGCTGCTGGGTTATTTTCTCAGCTGTTTTACCAGAGTGTTTTGGACCTTTTCTGCTCAGTCTTCGGGCCCACTGCATGCTCTTTCTCCTCAGCAGGGGGTGGTCGGACTGGTCGCTGGACGTGGAGTTGCGGTGGTTGCCTCGGTGATGACCTTGCTCTTTGCAATCTTTGGTGTCTTCCCACTCTTCCACACTGATAGATATTTGAGACTTTAAAGGAAATGGATATCGATAATTAGATATTTTAGGAATAAGTATGGACTGTGGTTATATCGATTTTATGCTCATATCGTGGTATAATCATCTCATGAGTTTTCACAGAAAGAGCAAAATCATAATCACTGATACTAATTTTCCATTAGTATAAATATTATTAGAAAATGTCCTCTCGAAATTATATATGAACACAAGAAAATATCTTTGCATCCTCCAGTGTAAGTTTAATGAAAGGATTTTTCATGTATCAGAGTTATCAAATGACTGTTAACAAAGCTGTTTCAAATCAGACCAAAAAAACTAGGTATTTTAAAACTTTATTCAAATTAAGTCCATGTAATGGACTTTTCTAAATCTCTCACATGTATTTCACATGACATTTAAATAAAGATTATAAAAGCGGTTTTATTTTTGGAATGACTAACATTTTAAAGGTTTTTAAGTTATTGCTCTTTCTAAAGATGGCGTTGGAATGAACTTTATAAAATGTGAATTTTTTTATTCCCCCATATGACCCAGAGGAAAACAAGCCCTTTTTAATTCATGCATTAACTGTTCATATAAAATGTTTTTTGACTAAAATATTTAAATTATTTCAAGAATGGTTCTTAGTATCCTAAGCGAAAATGTGTTATAAATATTAATATTTCACAAATGTATTCTAAACTCACAAATAAAACTTAAATTGGGCTAATAGTAGGGAAAAGCAATGAACAAACTCAAAGTCTATTTAGACTTATTCTTTCACTATGAAATCTGATTTTCAACTAAGAAACTCTCCTTTGATTATAGGCCCTTAATAAATAGAAGCTTCCCGTTTCTGAATTGTTGCTTTTCATACCAGGAAGTCATATGAAATGCAACACAGATCAAAGCCGGAAGTCTGACTGTTTGAAAGCATGCACATGCAAATGAACAGCTTCCTGAATCTGTACCTACAGCAGCCCTCACGAATCTGCTGATGTGTTCTCTTCTGTAAATAGAAGTCTGAGCTTCAGCTCTAACATGCATGTGTTGCTGGCTTTAAGTAATAGAATTTAAATTACCAATTTAAGTTCAGGAGGTAGATCCAATAAAATCCTTTAAAAGTGAATATAAATGATGGAGGCTGTCAGTCCTTACATACAACACCTAGTGGCAAGCTGCGATATCTCACACTTAAGTTCAATATATAACATAAATATCCACCTTTCTACTTCAAAAGAATACTATATCAGTGATATAAAATCTAATTTAACTTTCATATCTTGATGAGAGAACATTTCATTAAATTTCTCTTAGAAACCTTATTTCAGCTATCAGAATTTAAGTTGGAAGTTATAAAATTCTTAATACCATGGTTTCGCAATAATGGCTACCATTTTAAGTCAACTTGCTCTACCTACTTGATAGTCTCTACCTGATAATATACTGAAAATCCTCTTCTGTGGAAGTAAAATATATAAATCCTTGAGAAATAGCTACTATCAGGAAGAATATCAGTCTTTGTTCAGAAGTTCAATTTATATGTACTTTTCAGCAAAAATGAAAATGTTAGTGATTCATATTTAGACTATGGCTTGCAGAGTTTTGTTAATCACAATCCTTATTTGATGTGATCTTTCTAGTCGTAAGTCTCTGTAATAGTTTGATTTCCTACAAATATGTGGAAACGGTAATCTTGCCAGACCAAATTCTCAAAACATTACGTTCCTATAATGCCACTTATCATCCAAGTCACACAACCATAAAATATTTTAGAAGAGAGATAAAGATTCTCTTCCAAGTGAAGGATGAAACACTGGCTTTGTGAGTGCTTTTTCCTAGTTACGTGTATTGAGAATTATGTCAAAAATACATCTAAATCACAAACTGAAGCCTATGTGTATATTACTGAAATAATATTGAATATCCTATTCATCACTGTTTTGAATTCCCCAAAGAAGGGAATATCATGATTTATATACAAAACCTATAAGACTCACAAGGCCTTTTGTTAATAATTTAATAAAATAAGTAACATCTCTTTATATATTTCATTTTATAGAAAAAAAGAATTAGAAGGATTTGGGGATTAATTTTAAGAAATTTGAACTGACACACAGATTGTTCATTACATGTTGAAATATGCATGCCTTTCTCGCATCCTTCCAATATGACATAATGAGAAAAAAGAATTAGAAGGATCTGGGGATTAATTTTAAGAAATCTGAACTGACACAGATTGTTCATTACATGTTGAAATATGCATATGCCTTTCTCGCATCCTTCCAATATGACATAATGAAAAGTACACACGATTTTCATATATTAAAATACACAAATTTGCACAATATTCTGTATATTTCCTAGCTCTGTTCCTACAACAAAACTACGTAAACTCTGTGTGAAATGAGAATAATACCCATCTTCTACCTCATAGAAACGTTGTGCAAATTCATATAACACATTAACGTAGGAAGAAAACTTTTGCCAACCGTCAACTCTGTAGAGCCATCATATTAATATATCTTAGTGAAAATGTCCACATTATCAGCTTCACGGGTGGAAACGGTATTCTATTCCTGGGTGCTGAATGTGCGTGCGCACGTGCGCTTGTGTGTTTTAAAAGAAGGTTCATTTATAAATACACTTTTCTGCCGTCATTCACAGCTGGTAGCGACTCTGTGTGTTTTGAACAGGACCTTGTGATCTAGTGGAAACAGGGCAGTGTTGGGATACACAAAAGTGCCTGAGTTTAGGGTCAGAGCGACAGGTTAAAAGCAAGTGTCGTGGCATCAGACAGGCCTGGCTTTAACTGCAGGTTCCGCCACTTATCAGCCGTGTTCCTGGCCGTGTAATTTAACTCTCTCAGATTATCCTACTTCCTGCCTGAAACAGGGTAATTCTAGTTTTACTTTGCCCACAGTGTTTCTCTGAGATCTAAGAGATAATACATGACATGTGCACAATACGGTGCCTGTCTCAGCAAATGCCCAATAATTTATCAGTTAACATGATGGTTCATGATCTTGTATGGAAAAAAACAGTGAAAAGAACAAAAGAAAAATAATGAGGGGTTATATGTAGGTGAAAATGGGTATGAAAAAAAGACGGAATGACATACTTTTGGTGTGGTTTTCTCTATCAATGACCACATTTCACAAGAAATCAAGATGCTGTAAACAGACATTTGGGGGTAGAGATCACTTGGTTTAAGTTTTGTGAATCTGAAGAAGAGGATGAGGGTTTAAGTGAAAGTAGAGGTTTCCTGCTCTGCTCTGGGCCGCTTTGTCCTAGTTTATAAGTAACGCGAGGACTCTGGGCCCACTTTTTCGTACCGTCATTGTCAGACGCCTAATGTAGTTATCAACTTAAAAAATCAAGATTTCATGCTAACGTTTGTAAGAGTTAGAAAAGTTATCTGCCTATTGCTGTGATCTGATCTCAGTGTTTGGTTTGTGTCCTCTCAAAATTCATACGTTGAAATCGTAACCCCAAAGGAGACTGTGTTAGTGGCGGGGGGCATCTCGGGAGGTGAGCAGGTCCTGAGGGTCCGCCCTGGTGAGTGGGATCATAACGGGGATCCTGCAGATCTCCCAGCCTCTTCTGCCCTGTGAGGATGGAATAAAAAGCCTATCTGACCCGAGGGGCCCCCCACCGACCCCGCTGCCACCCTGATCTCAGACTTCTGGCCTCTGGAGCTGTGAGAAATGAATTTCTGTCGTTTCGAAGCCACCCCGCCTGTGGGATTTTGTTACAGCAGCCTGAATAGACTAAGACGTGTATTTTATAAGCAATGCTTCTGGGACCATGTTGATGTAGTTCAATAAGGAAATTAAAAATTCATACGGCTATGCCAACAATTTTCATAGAAATTTAATGCACTATCAGTTTTAAAAGTCATATCGTTTTCCAAATATTTATCAAGCTTAGTAGGGTCGAAAAGAGGCTAAAAATATTTCTTCACAAGAACTGAAAACTTTATAAATGAGAAAATGTTTCCTATGCCTAAAATAGTTTAATTTACTTTCATTCTTTTCAGAAAGGTAGAAAATGTCAGATTCACAAAATATATCAAAGATTCTTTTCCACTCCACACACACACACACACACACACACACACACACACACACACACACATCTCGAAGTGACTCGATTCAACTTTCTCTCAGCTTTTTATTGAACAGTTATTCATGTCATAGGTTATTGAGCAATGTGTGGAACAAAGTGATATTTTAAAATAAATCGATTCACCCAGTAGCTTGAAAGCGAGTGCTTGTAATCTGGATTCACAACCCCCTCAAGAATAGCTTTATAGCCTTTAGAATAGACTTGAACTGTGCCGTCTGATTTATGGTTGACACATTCTGAGTTGTCACCGAGGGAATCTCGCAGATGTGTCTCATAGGTCAGGATCCGAGCGTGGCCCATCCAGACCGTCCTCCTCATCCTTAGCTTGTGGTTTGTCAGAAAACTGAAAGTGGTTTTTCTTAACTAAAAGGGTTGTTTCATGTCTAGAAATAACTAAATATAAAAGCATATTTTCATTTTACACTCAATGTCATTTTGAGTTTATAGGTTCAGGTTTTTATGTGTGATGCATAAGTACCTTGTGCACCCAGATAGCTTTAAACTCCAAAACTGACTTATAAACAAACAAAAAATCAACAAATAGAAGAATATTAAATAAGCATGCAGGTTTAACATGTGCATAAAGGTATTCAAATAGTTTACGTTATTAGAATCATATTTATGTTGCTAACTGTCGCTTTCACGGCACAATTTTCACTTATTGTTTTCCAGAATTACAGGAATATATAGCCCAAAGCAGTGGTTTCAACCGTGTGTGTGTGTGTGTGTGTGTGTGTGTGTGTGTGTGTGTGTGTGTGTGTAGACCCTACACACTTCAGAGTAGGTCAGGGGAGCTATCACCTCCAGTATATTATAGTTCAAAAGGAAGGACCTAAACCTATAAAGTTATGGAAAACTATCACAGTGATTGAGGACAGCATCAATTCTACTATGCCCAAAAC